AGTAATGTCCTCTTTAGGGTTGCAAATTTAAAGGGTTTTTCTTAATCGACAATTGCTAATATTACTGAAGTTACTTGATTATTTACTGACCCCCACGGCAATATAATAATACGGCAATCCCCCCCCCCATCCACACACACACACACACACAATATTGCGGTTGAATGCATTCTTCAGTAAAGGAACTGTAGAAGCCAATAATGTCATAGCTGACAATAATGTAATAAGTTGTTACATTATTGGCCAGTTATTACTTTATCAATTTTTATTATGTTGGGAATGGAGAAATTAGGTTATTGGCTGATTGCATTATTGGTAGTTATTAAATTATAGGCCTCTACAAGGACTTTATTGGGAAAAAATACCTTTTAAAGCATATTAACACTGATCGCTTTTGCGCAGGTACAGGCACCATTTGGCAATGTAGAGCCTACAGACAGCTTTAAATCAGCCTTAGACATTAAAGAGAGTATAGGCCTGCTCGCTGATATGGAAATGCGTGACACTTTAAATTTATTAATTTAATTTGGAACTCTTGATCGACTAAATCCTTAATGGCAAATAATCGATTGTCAGTTAATCATTAGCAACACTATTCCTGCTCCTTTGGCAGGTTGAGGATGCTGAATGAATGTTTTCAACATTCACAGGAATGAGTTTTTGGGTTGATGGTGACTGTGTGAGAGACACTGGTGCATTACATCTCCTGGGACTGGGATTCAAATCCCACCTGCTTGTGGAAAACCAGCAAAAACAATAAATATATATTTATGTACTTTGTTCATGTTGTGTGTATTGTCTGATCCTGTCTGTAACTGCTGCTGTAACACAGAAATTTCCCTTTGTGGGATTAATGAAGTTCGTCTTATCTTAAATTGATGCTGCTAAATTACCCATAGTGTGTGCATGTGCGTCTGCCCTGGGATGGACTGGCAGCTTGTACTTGGTGACTACCTGCCTTGTGCTTTCTGCAATCCTTTGCTTAGATAAGTGGTCGGAAGATGGATTATTTTTTTGGCCTGCATAGCCACTAGGTGGCAGTGTTGCACTTAAACTGTTGATGCAAAGATTGCTGTTCATCCTGACACTCTAGAACTGGAGTAAACCACTAATTAGATCAAGTGTGTGATACATGAAGGGAAGTCAAGAATTAGTATTAGGTAGTAATAGCTATATTTTTGTTCTTTGGTGTTCCAGGTAGTGGTTCTGTGCCACACTTCTTCCACATCATGAGGAGACAGTTTACTGACCATGAATGGGCGGTCATCCAGGGGGCGGGGTCAGAGTGGACCCAACTGGATATGTTCTACAGACACTGGGTAACCATGGTGACCTCTGACCACCACACATTGCCGTACACTTGCCACAAAATTCTACCGCATATAATAGGTAATTGGGTGTCGAGGCTCCTGCTCTTGTCGGGGTCACTGATGGCAAACGGGTCTAAGCAGAGGCGGCAGAGATGCAGAGATGTCAATGGTAAACCTCATGAAACCCTTACAGGTGTTCACACTGGGACAGAGAATGATACCCTGTGGGGCTGGATGATGGCCCCCTCAGTTCAGAAAGCACTCTGTGTGAAGCAGGCAGAAAAAAAGCCTTTTGGACGTCCAGTTGCCGATGTTGCCATGTGAGAGGAGAGATTCCGAAGCTTAAAGGAAGGCTCACTGTTGGGGCTTATGGTGTACTGGGCATGAATCACAGCGCTAGAGGTGCTAAGGCTGGAAATGGATTGCTTACAAGTATTAACAAATTTAGATGGACGATGGACATCATTGATATAATTGCAGTAATTATAAGAAATTATAAGAAGGCTTTATTGATCCCACACCAGGGGGAAATTTACTTGTTACTACAGCTTAAAATTAAAGATGAATATCAATAGAAGGCAAATCTGAAGATGCTATACAATAGGTAATAAGTGTGAAAAATCAGTGCACACAAATTGCAGATATTGCAAGTATGCAGTGAAAAAATAATTGCACATGTAACGACACAGATAGGAGTTAACATCGGAGAACTGGAGGACTGTCACCGGCAGCTAGGGTAGTAGAAAGTCAGAACTACATAGTTCCATAAAAGGATGGAGTTTGAGTGTAGGTCTAACAGGACAGTAGATGTAGGACTGAATGTAGAACACTCTGGTGGAGTGCCTGAGCCTGACTGAATGTCTGGTTTGGGTGAGATGGTCTGAATAGTTGGTAGAAACAGGCACCTTCCTACCTGATGTGGTAAGTCTAGATCTTGGAAGTTAAAGTTTGTTTGTACTGGCTGTGTGAACATAGGCTGTGTTGCATATTCTTAACATCAGTCCTGAGTTGGGGAACTGCTGTATGTAACAGTAGTAATATTATGCTTTGTTTTTTTCTAGGCTGTTCATTTAGGCATGACAAGGCCTGAAAGTATTGAATGGCATTTATGAATGGAGCACTGACTCTACCTGCTGGCCAATTTATTCAAACATTGAAATTGTTCTAGTCCACACAAGCTGAAGTATCATTGAAGTCTGATAAATTTCTGTGAGTGAAATGCCAGGAAAATGACAGGCAATTAAAATCCTGGAGTCAGATGAAGGGAAAGGTAACAATTCTTTGAAGGTTTTATGAGAAATAATAGTGCGGGGTGATAAAACGATCTCGATTTTTTTTTTTTATCGAGAAAAAATAAGGACAATCACGATGATACACACAGACTATAAAACTCGATCAACCAAGTTTGCTCCATTTTAGAGAATACGCTGAGACAGACAACTCGATGGCCTATCGAGCAGAGATTTACTGAACGCCAGTACAGCAGCCAATCACCGACGACGCTGTAATTTTGCCCATCGTCCCTTAAAGCAGTGGTTCTCAAACTTTCAAGACCCCTAATCGAAGATCGACAAGATCGTGTGACCCCCACTATCAAAAACAAGCAATAAACATAACAAGCTGTTCACAGTATTTTTACTACATTTACTATACATCAAAATAATTTTGGCTTACCTTTCAATGGGAAGGGTGTTCTTGTTTTTGGCAGCACAAAGGCTTCATTCGTTGGCTGATGGTGGATACAGCTACCCGCAGATCATCTTCGACATCAAGACGTGATCGGTATTTATTTTTTATATATGTAACAGCGGAAAAAGACTGCTCACACAAATATGTAGATCCAAATTGAAGCAGTACATCCATTGCTGCACTGGACAACTCTGTGTATTCGTCTGCTACCGCAATCCAAAATTCAGGCAGTGTGGAATTGGAAAATAATGTTTTTAATGTTCGATCACTGGACAGCTCCAGCAAAGCATCTTCCAGATTTGTGGGGAGATGAGTAATAGATTCAGAAAATGGTTGCCGTATCCAGTCATACGTACAGTTCTGGTTGCGTCTCTTTTGGGAAATACTTTTTGAATTGTTCCA